AGTATATCAAGGGGAAAAGCTCTGCTGCATAAAGTTATTCTAACATATATATGTACATATATAATATATATTCAGGTCAACAAACTCAAAACTGAAAATTAAATCACTGAAGATCTTAAGCTACAAAGAAATGCTCAATATACTGCAGAAAATAGAAACTATATGAGCAATATTCTGGGAATATAATGTAATAAAATTAGAAATCTGAAATAAAATCTTTTCCACTCAGAAAATTTTCATCCTTTCTCTTAAACAGCCCTTGGGACAAAGAAGAAATCAAAACTGAAATTGGAAAATACTTCTAAAATAGCCTTCGTAAAAATGTTTTCTCTCAGAACCTGTGCAGAAAGAGCAAAAAGGAATAGGGAAGACAGGAATCAAAAATGATTGGGTAATGTTATATGCATGCGCCGAGTCCCCAAAATGAGTACCATCATTCTGTGTTACAAACATGCACTAATAAATAAGCAGAGAGTTAAAATGAAAATAAGCAAAAATGAAAGCAATGAAAATAAATAAGTATTGAATTGAAGAAGCTAAAAAATAGGCAACAGACTCAACCTTATGGAAAGCAGAAAAAAGGTTCTGGTTATTTAAAAGCAGAATTAAAGAATAGTAGAACTAACGCATGAATCCCAAAGATAATCGTGTATATTTTAAAGTTAATAAAATAGATGCACTATTAGCTAGCCTTGTCAAGCCAGAGACAGAAATACCTTAAATAAAGAATTACAATGGGAAACTAACCATAAAAATATAAAATTTAGAACACAACATGACATTACTTTGCTCGTCTTTTTTTTTTTTTTAATTCATTTGGTACAGGGTCTCGCTACACAGTTCAGACTCATGGCAGTCCTCCAGTCTCAGCCTCCCCAGCACTGGATTACAGACATGCAGCACCACGCCCAGTTTTAATGGCCAGCACAGCACACCTGGGGCTCTGGGGCTGGCACAGTATGCAGTACTAGAGACAGGACCTGGGTCCTTGAGCTTGCCAGGTAGGTGCTTAGACCACCTAGTTATCTTCCAAGCCCACTTTGTTCATCTTTACACATAATAATTTGAGAGAGACTGGGTGTGGCGGTGTGCACCTGTAATCCCAGCGCTTGGGAGGCTGAAAACAGGAGGATCACTATGAGTGTGATCTGTGTAGTGAGACCTGTAGACCCTGCACTAAATATATAAAAGAAAATAATAATACTTTGAGAACTTAGGTAAAGAGACAAATTTGCATGAAAATATCAATTGGAAAAAACAACCAAAATAAAGTTAAATGATCTAATTTCTACAGAAAACTAAGGCAATTGTCCAAGTGCTATTCCTCTGCCTTCAACAGGAACAAGTCCACACAAAACCACAGAACTCTACGAAATCTTTAAGAAACCCATAATTCTCATGATGTGCAAATTTCTTCAGAATACACAAAAAGAAAAAAACCTTCTAGTTATTTTTAGGAAAATAACAACTAATATAAAAATGTAATAAAGCACAAAAATGAAATATAGCTATATTACAACAAAAAATTCATTGTATACTAAAAAATGTCAGATAAAGTTTACTCCCATAAGTTAAGAATGATTGAATATTAAAATATTATTTTGTAATTCCCCATACTAGTAAGTTAAATGACAAAAATCATATAGCCATTCTAATAGATGCTAGATAAACCAAGGAAAAGTTCACATCCATGTTTGATTTTGCAAAGCTCCTTACAAAATAACAATAGACACTTCCTTAATGTGATCGAAGATACATTTGTACAAGAATCTCAGTAGTGGGGAAACACTATGAATATTCTCAATGAGATCAGGAACAAGACCAGGACATACAATATTCTCTACTATGATTTAACACTGTTCCAGTGATTTGAAAATTCAAGAAGATAGAAATATTTATCATCTTAAGTTGATATGATCGTTCACCTGAAAAACTCAAGATAATAAACTTTAAAAGTGTATTAAGTTTTCTTGTTACAAAATTAACATACCAAAATATTTACACAAATAACCACACAGAAGATTAATGGAACAAAAGGGTACAAATGGAATAGCAGCAAAAGGCCAGAGAGATATCTCAGTGGACTAAGTACCTGCTTAGGCAAGCACAGGGACCAGGGTTCAATCCTCAGTACCACATGCCCTGCGTTAGCTCCACCCCTGGGCACACTGAACTAGCCAACAAGACTGTGTGTGGTGGTACATGCCTGTAATCCCAGCACTGGGGAGATTGAAAACAGAAGGACCACTATGAGTCTGAGCTGCACAGTGAGACCCTGCACCAAATGAGACAGAGACAGAAAGAGAGAGAAAGAGAGACAGACAGACAGACAGAGAGAATAGCAGCAAAAAAAGATAAAATATACAAAATTAAATCAAGAAACTCAGATTATCTTGCAAAGAAAAAAAGAAAAAAATGAAGACACTACTAACCACCATCAATAGAAGCCTTCAATGTTAAAGTATAGATTTGGTGTAATCTTGCCTCCTAAACACAAACAAAGGTTATGATTTGTTCTTTTAATTTTATTTGGTTTTGTTTGCTTGAGTATTTCTGGAAAATATATAAAAAGATAATTCTGAAATAGGTAGTAACTTCTTTTTCTAAACAAAAGTTACTACAAAAATATTTTTAAAGAAGAGTAATGATTGGTAGAAGAAGGATTTGTTTCACCAGATATTAAGATACTCTTGTTTTATAAAATGGCAAAGCTACAACACTAAAATTGCCTTAGCCTGTGACATGAACACAGGCAAAAAAATCAGTGAAACAGAAAACACCCATTTACAATTGGTTTCAAAAGAATGGAAGGCACTTAGAAGACCAGCGAACCATCTAAGGAAAAAAGAAGTATGGTCAGATCCCTATCTCACACCTTACATCAACATCAGCTCAAGAACACTAAGATCTAGTTTCACAAAATCAAGTCATAAAATTCTAGAAAAAGTGCCAGCATTTTACAAATATTATGTTAGAATCAGGTAGACCTTTTAAATTCAGATCCTGGGCTGGCGAGATGGCTCAGTGGTCTAAAGCACCTACTTGGAACAAGCTTGGCAAAGCACAGGGACTGCGGTTCAATCCCCCAGCATCACATGCCAGCCAGCCCCGCCCCCAGGTGGGCTGAGCTGGCCACACACACACACACACAAAATAAATAAATAAATAAATAAATAAATAAATGTTTTTAATAAATAAATAAATTCAGATCCTAGTTGGTTAACTTGGCCATACTTAAAAAAAAAAAAAAAATGTACAGAGTTTTGGGTTTTCTTTTTGCCACTGGGACTGACTATAATTTGCTATAACTTCCCTGGAGTTGTTACTTACTAGTTGGATATTTAGGTTTCTTGTTTCTTGTAATGGGTCTCAACACCATCTCTAAGATTTAGTCTTGAAATTAAAAGTAATGGCAGGCTGGGGATATAGCTCAGCTGCATATGTACCTGCCTGGCAAGCACAATATAATCAGTTTGATCCCAGTACCAAAGAAAACAGTAATGGCAAATGCAAGCAGCAGATGCTGATGCCCTTCACAATTTCATCAAGATGCTCAGCTTCATTAACTCCAACACAAGGTCCTATTTGAGTATATTTTCCTTATATTAATTTTTCAGTTATTTCAAGGGTGTGTGTGTGTGTGTGTGTGTGTGTGTGTGTGTGTATGTATGTGTAGGGTCTTACTATTTAGCTTGGACTCCTAGTGATCCTCCTAATTTCTGCCTCCCAAGTGCTGGGATTACAGGTGTGTGCCACCACACCTGGACTCCATCACTGGCTCAGCACACCTGGGGACAGGGCCGGCACGGCATGCGGTGCCAGGGATTGAACCCTGGCCCCTGCACTTACCTAAACAAGCGCTTAGTCTGCTGAGCTATACCGCTGGCCCTTTCAGTTATTTCATTTATTCAGTCATTTCAATTCCCCCCTTCAGGAACGGACCAGTCATGTGCTTACTTGCCTAAGAGTACTTCTGGATTTTCTCCATTTGACATTTTCTTGATTAAAGTCACAAGTTTTTTCCTGACACGTGTATAAAAATAAATCTCCAAGTTCATTGATTGCCCTTTGTTATCATTTGAATATTGAATGTCTCCAAAGGCCTCAAGTGTTAAAGCCTCTACTCCCAGCCTGATGGCTCTACTGAGAGGCGGGAAAACCTTCAGAGGGTGGAGCTGAGTGGAAGGAAATCAGATTGATGGTGGGCGTGGCCTTGCAGAGGCTATTGAGACAGCCTCTCCTCTCTCTTTGCTTTGTGGCCACTATCAGACGTAGATGTTTCTTCTTCATCCACCACTCATTTCTACCATAAATCCTGTCTTGCCTCAAGCCCAGAAGCAGCAAAGCCAATCTGTCATGGATTAAAACTTCTAAACTGTAAGACAAAATCAATCTTTCCTCTTAATCAGTTAATTTATCATGGGTATTTGTTATAGCAACAGAAAGCTGATTAACACATCTTTAAATTTTGCTTATACTGATTGGATATTTGGTACCTTTTACTTTTATGTAGTTAAGCCTGTCAGTTTGTGTGTGTAGGATTTCTACCATTAATTTCAAGGTTAGGAATAAAGATCCTACATTTTCTTCTATTTTCCTGTGACTTAATTTTTATACTCAGCATCTTTATCCATGTGACATGGGGTCTTTTCATGATATACGATACGCTATTTGAATTCATGTCTTCCTTCCGCCGTCCTACCCTCAGCAAGCCAGTTGTTCACTCAGCCTCTTTTGTGTGTGACATTGTGGATGATTTTGCATTATCTTAACAGCTGGCATCAGAAGCCCTTAAAGGGGAGAACTGTTATTGTTTGGAAGATTCTCTTGACAAATCTGAAATAAAAGGTGAGTTCTCTGAAGGCCTAAGTGACAGTGGCACTAAAATGTGGGATGAGGGGGAAAGCCTCCCTGTGTGTATGATTCAGGAGGAAATCGTTGCTTTTCATGGGAAAGAAAGAATGTGCGAGAATGAAAACCAAGAAGAAGGTGGTGTGTGGGGCGCTTAGCGGCCGCGACGGACGCAAGATGGCGACGGCAACCATAGCTCTCCAAGTCAATGGCCAGCAAGGAGGGGGGTCCGAGCCAGCAGCAGCAGCGGCGGCGGCGGCGGCAGTGGTGGCAGCGGGAGACAAATGGAAACCTCCACAGGGCACAGATTCCATCAAGATGGAGAATGGGCAGAGCACAGCCGCCAAGCTGGGACTGCCTCCTCTGACGTCAGAGCAGCAGGAGGCCCTCCAGAAGGCCAAGAAATACGCCATGGAGCAGAGCATCAAGAGTGTACTAGTGAAGCAGACCATCGCGCACCAGCAGCAGCAGCTCACCAATCTGCAGATGGCAGCTCAGCGGCAGCGGGCACTGGCCATCATGTGCCAGGTCTACGTGGGCTCCATCTACTATGAGCTAGGGGAGGACACCATTCGCCAAGCCTTTGCCCCCTTTGGCCCCATCAAGAGCATTGACATGTCCTGGGACTCCGTCACCATGAAACATAAGGGCTTTGCCTTTGTGGAGTACGAGGTCCCAGAAGCTGCACAACTGGCCTTGGAGCAGATGAACTCAGTGATGCTGGGGGGCAGAAATATTAAGGTAGGCAGGCCCAGCAACATAGGGCAGGCCCAGCCCATCATAGACCAGCTGGCAGAAGAGGCACGGGCCTTCAACCGTATATATGTAGCCTCTGTGCACCAGGACCTCTCAGACGATGACATCAAGAGTGTATTTGAGGCCTTTGGCAAGATCAAGTCTTGTACACTAGCTCGGGACCCCACAACTGGCAAACACAAAGGCTATGGCTTCATTG